TATATTTCTTTGAAAATAGATGTTATTTGAAAAAATAGCTTATTCTTAAGTATTTATTTTTATAATAGTTTTATAATTTTAAATAGTTTTATAATTTTTAAAATTATTTTTTTAATATACAGTGTAAATCTGTATAAATATCTTTAATAGATTTTATTTGACGAACGACGAACGATATAACATATTATTTTACGTCGATGTGACTTCAGCAAATCCTTTGTTTTTTGTAGTCTCGATATAATCCTCGATTTATATCTCTTCTATTATGCATTTATTCCGGCGTTACTCCTTGGCGCCCTTTTTCCGCACTCATGAAGAAGATGTCTGGCCGCTTTGCTGCCTCTTGAATTAATCTCCTGCATATATTAAACCTAATAAATTCCGAAACGCGCGCGCCTACTTCGACTCGTATGAATTCGAAGGATCTCTCATTTTTAGATGATATCATTGTCATTAAAATATCATCGGTGTCGCCGAGTTTTTGCATCGGCAATGCACATTACCTTAATGTAACACGTTATGCAACGACACGCAAAATTATACTTGCCAAAAAATTCAAGCACCAACTCTGATTTTAGCACTTGTTAAGTAAACTCGCGTGAATGATTAAAATTAATTAGAATTTTTTTATTTAACATGATATTAATTAATGTGAAATGACCGCAATTATATTCTTCTACATATATTTTATTTTATCTTATCTCTTCTTTTACTCATCACAGACCATTTGAATTATCTAAAATAAAATAAAATAAAATAAATAAAATTTGTTGACTTATTTGTTACAAATTATAAATTTAGCATAAGATTCCACGAGCTTAAAGCGCGGATATATATATATATAAAATAAGTCTTGAATTATAGCGTGACATTTGCAATATTTAAGGATGAATGAAAAGATTTGGATTTTTTATTAATACAGAACGATTATCGCTATCATTTTTCTAGTTTGATGAGAACTGAGAACCGATTCATTCAGATCGATCTATTGATGAGAATTTTAAGCTCAAGATCGAAAAAATATATTGCAAGTACGAAGAATTAAATTACTTACAAATGAGAAAAAGAAGAAAATTTAGAAAAAGAAAAAAATATTTAGTTGATAAACGTTTAAAAGGAATTATAAGATATTTTATTGAAACAATGAATATTTCTTTATACTCTTTCTCCTCTTTTTGTTATTCTGTTCTACTTTTTAAATGTCTTATTAATATTATGCTTACATCAAGATTTCAAAAAATTTATTGAATATTGAGAATTCTAATTTTAACTTAAACAAGTGACCGCGCGTGCATAAAAACAAATTATTTCTTATTCCATCTTTATCTGTCTTATTTGTTCCAATAAAAAAGAATAAAATAGTCATCTCTGAAGAAATTTCATCTATTTTGTCTTATTACCTATCATATCGTATGAATATATTTATAATAATTTGTTTCTTTTCAAATTTTTCTACTTTCTGAATTATGTAATTCACAATATTAGCCAATTTACTGGCAATTAATCAATGTTGTAAAAATAATTCAAACTTATAAGGAAATTCTGCTCTTTTTTTTTACGATTTTCGCATCTTGCTTCATTGAAATAAGAAACGCACAATGTATACTAATTACATTTATAAGTTAATATATTAGTAGATTTCAATGAGAAGAATGGGATTATGTCTACCTTCCATTTCTTGACGAGGTATTTGACAAATACCCACACGTAGCTTTTCTTATTCGAACTCGCAAAGCCACTGATACATTGTTGAGTTTATCTCAGATTTTCATTGATGATGCGATGTCAAAACGTATATATGCTTACGTAAGTAAGTTAGTTACGCACGTTAGTTGATGCTAAAAAAAAAAATAAGTGCAATATAGAAAGAGAAAAAGAAAGGGGGTTAGTTCGAATAGAGAAGTATGGAGTTCGAATAATGAGGTCACATGAGCGTATATCATATATATTTACGAATTTCTATTTTCAGTTAGCTAGCAGAATGAGGCAAAGAAAAAAAAAAAAATTAGAAGGGAGAAATCTGCAAACTGTGATGTATATATTTATACAAGTAGCATTGTACGCGTTGCATCATCTCAACGCAAAAGATTCAAACTAATTTCATCTAAATTTAAGTTGAGAATTTTTCATTACGTGATCGCATCTCATATTCGAAATATTTATAAATAAAAGAAAATTACAGTTCCGTATAAAATAAAATGTTTTCTTATATTGGTATATAACATTTACAAATAAAAAGAAATACAGTTTCGTGTGTGAAATAATCTTTTCTTTTATCTTTATATTTTTGATTTAAAATTTGTTATATCAAGAGTCTAAAATGTCTGATATATAATAACAATTTCCTCGTCTCTAGGACGTACATGTATAGATTACATTAATATTGAAATGAACATTTTTGCGATTTATTTTACATCGCCATTGAATTCACATTCTCTCGGATTTTTTCATAATAAAATCAAACGAGACGATCGAGACGAAAAATAGCGGAAACTCGACAAGTATCCGAGTTTCAAGCATCGAAATCATAGAAATCAGCTATATATTGCCCGTAGAGAAGTTTCACATTCAATTTGTTCCTTCCGTTTCGTAGTAATCGCTCGTCTATGATTTCCTTTCCCTCCCGTCTGCATCTGTTTCTGCCTCCTCTTCTCGCACCAACCACGTCGTCTCCACAACTTCCACCTTATCTTTTAGCTTCCACCGTCCCTCGCACCTTTACCCGGATCCACTTAAGTCGAAGAGCGTAGCCGAGCGTAGCGGATCGCGAGTATAGGGAGGACCGACTGTAGAATCTCCCAACCAATGGCAACACTAGAATTTCACTTCCTCACCTCCGTGTCCTAGTCTCTGCGAACCAATCGGAGAAGTCTGTCAGTCTTCAGTGGTGGAGTAAGCATGGCGCTTCCACCCCCAAAATGGCTGCGAAATCGCACAGGCATTAGGCAGCCCGTTCAAAATAAACGGGCGGATTAATTCGATGGGATTGCGGGAGCGGCACGCGCGGGAGGGCGGGATGCTCCGCGCGCGGCGAGCGCGTAGTACTCCGCTTTCAACTGCGTGCTAACTTCCAGACCCTCTCGTACATGTGTCTCCACCCCTATGATATAGTCGACGATAAGGATGACGATGGTACCGAGGACGGTTCGGAAACCAGGCGGCTTCCGGTCAGCCGCAGCGTCGTTGGCGACGCAGAATGAGGTCGAGCGTCCGTACGATAGCATGAAAATCGCGGATTTCTCTCACGGTGTACCCGCACGATTCGTCCGCATGAATTATCGCCATTGATCGTTGTTATTGCTTCGTCGAGAGGAAAATAATTTTAATCGACAAGAACGCGAGAATTGTGAGTGTACCAGCGACAGCGACAACGACAGCGACAGCGACAGCGATGATGCAAGAGCACAAATCCTTCTTGATTAGAGATCTTCTAGGAGATGTATTAGCCGATCGAGTTCAAGGTATTTTTATTATCAAACATGTAGATGTAGAGGCTACAGCGGATAATCGATGTATGATGATAAAATATGTCTGACGATAAGGATACTTTGCAGTAATTATTTTTCAAATTAGAAAAAAATATATTAATTTTATAGTAATAATAAATAATAATTAGTGCTCCGATGATTGAAAATCAAATATAAATGAGCAAAAGAGCAAGGTCACCAAATTGAGTGACAGGGCTAATAAAATGTATTTTATTTTATTCATACAGTTATGATAAATTTTATTAAGCATTATCAACTAGCTTAAATTCTCACTCCTTTGTTTACATTCGATTTTTAATTATCAGATATATATATAAAATTGATCCTTTCCATATGAATTATAAAAATTATTACCATTAATTAATTAAATAATTAATTATTACGTTTTGAAATTTTAAAATATATTTACAAAAATATTATATATTTTCTTTTTTATATGAAAGCCAATCATAGTTACTTTGACCAACCATACCATACCAGTTACTATTGTCGCTATATACGAAGCAGATTGAAAATTAAGAAAAGCAAATAAATCTTCTGTAATAAAAAAATAAAGAAATTATATATTTTCTATTTAATTAAAATTTCAAGCGAAATAATTTTATCAAATATAATGTAAATTAATGTAAAATTATATAATTAGTTTTTATAAATATTGATATTTATGCATTTTATACGCATTTACTATTTACAAAAATGTATCATCAGCTTTACCAGCTATATAAAACTATGAATATAGAAATATACACATATCTCTAAATTTTCTCATTAATATATTAATATATTAAAATGACTATTACTCCAACAAAGAAAGTTATTATTTTAATTTGAGTGCGAACAATCACAAATTAGGAATAAATGTTTTATTTAAATAAATTAATTGATGAATTTTTAGATTAACTCTGCGGTGTTGTGATATTATATTATTTTAAAGCTATAAAATAATGATTTATCGAAAGATTAGTTAATAAATGGTTCTAACAAAATGTAATTTTCCACTTAAAGGTTTAAAATTACTTTTGATTTATTTTTAAAAACATCGATATATTGCATTCTAAGCAAGTGCTTTTCTAAACGAATGCTTTTTTATTCAAATAAAAAGGAATTTTACTTCAATTTAAAGAACGCAGTTTAACTTTTGTTTAGCAAATGTAATAGCAAATTACTCGAAGTGCACAGTCATTTTTCATATTATATTTGTATATTTCACTCATTTTGAATGATATTTTACTTTTCTAATTTTAAAGAATAGAAGATCATTAATTAGATATAGAAATTAAATATAGATTATCAAACAAATTTTAATTTAATCGATATCACAGCCTTTATATTAATTTTGTAAGATTCTTTTTTCCACATAAACGCTTTCGCACGTGTGATAGATTGTCAGAATTCTCTTATTACAAAGTGGATCCTGTGGTGCGCTCCAATTATTTAAATCTCCAACGCAGACCTATTAGGGGTGACTAACCCCCTCGGAGGTGGTACCCCATTAAGAACAATTCTACAGATGGTTCGAGGTGCTGAAAGATTCGTTAGAGCTCGTTAGCCCTTAGACTTTTATCAAAGATTATTACCCCCTGGTGCTCTATCGCAAATCTATTGACTAATTCTGAGAGGGAGCAGCAAATCTTGCTAATTGAGATGATTTATACTAAGATCGATCACAATTGATCGAGGATTTGCTGAATTATTGTTTTAATAACAGATTTTCTCTGACCTATCAACCAAATTTATTGATTGGAATCAAAGAAATAATTGTTAACACAAAACAGCAGAGAAATGTCTTATCCTCTATGTTACATACATGTTTCTTTAAGTAAACGTTTTTAATAGTGCCCATATTAATTATATAGTTTACTAATTCAAAATATCCATATCTTTTGTTATAAGTTAATGGAATAAAGTAAAAATTAGAAGTATAAATTTAATTTATCATAATAATTTTATAATTTTTATAATTTTATATTCTATTGATTGATTTTCACATATTTTTAAAGTTTTGTGATATTTCGCCATTTCGACTATTTGGATTGAATGATTATATTGATTACATTTTTATAACAAAGTCATTTCATTTAATCTAGTTTAGTGCTGGTGTAAAGTGCTTATTAACACGTTACAATCTAAATACTTTTCCTTTCAATTGTTATTTACTTGATTTACTTGATTTACTAACTGCTGACAAAAAAGATGCACTTCTTAGACGTTCAAATCTATCGGTTGCTCAATCTTTCTCAGAAGCAATGAAATTACAATAGATGAATTATTTTTCACTAAACTATGAACTACTCAAAATGCAGCCGTTTGATTTTCCTGATTTATTCTCAATATATTTCTCAATGTATAAAAGTACATTTTGTGCACAGAAAATTTGCGGAGTACAATTTGCGCATTAATATTAATAAATATGCGACATTTTCATTAATTTTTTTCATGTTTTACATATTAATTTGATATCGAGAACCCTTATAGATCATTTTTATTACAAATTTACAGATTTTCAAATATGTTTATCTTACAATAGTTATTACAAAACAATCAACACTAATTAGAAAACGCTAAAGAATATATTTTTCCGAATTACTTAATGTCTAGATGGTTGTTAAATATTAGTAACCATCGGTTACTAGTATCAATTTTTGAAAATATAGATTTTATAAAAACATATTATAGAAGACTCGGATGATTCGGTTGTTCATTCGGACTCCGAAGACACGATTGATCCTGGCAGCAGCCCTTGCACGCGTCTAGAGAGTCCTCCGCCGACACTTTCACCATCGCCTAATCCATCAACCATATCTGGAAAATCTTGTGGGATGACCATCAATAGTGCACTACCAGCTGGTAGAAAACCACGAAGACGACGAACCGCTTTTACTCACGCTCAGTTGGCTTATCTTGAAAGGAAATTTCGTTGTCAGAAATATCTCAGTGTAGCGGATCGCAGCGATGTCGCGGACGCTTTATCGCTATCGGAAACCCAAGTGAAGACTTGGTATCAAAACAGAAGGTAGAGAATTTATCATAAAACAAAGGGGAGTAGGATTAGGATTGAAAAAAAGAGCAATTTTATACTATGGTTTTATTACAGAACAAAGTGGAAGCGACAAAACCAGCTACGATTGGAGCAGCTGCGTCATCAAGCGACTGTCGAAAAAGATCTTCTGGTACGCAGTGTGAGTCTTCATCATAGTAACATAGACGCTTATTGTTCACCGTATAATACACAAACGCAAAGTAATCATCCGCCACCGCCACCACCGCCGCCGGCACCATCTACAGCTTCCACGGCAGCATTTCTTTCGACGGCGGCCGCGCTTTTCCGAAATGTTACCTATGTTCACGGCTGCCCCCTTTAATCTGCATTTGCTAATTTTGAAGATAATCTTCAGATCAACGCACAATTTAGCTCAAAGTTCTGAAGAAAAGTTCTTTCAGCGAACTACTTGTGTCGTGAGTGTCGTTAAGTTAGCTTAGTGTTTCCAAAATCATCAATTTATCTTTAGTTATTTTCAAACTTTACAAATTGGTGAATTAATTGGAAAAATTTGCATTGACAAATCGTTTTATATAGTAACCAATAAGTAAGAAAGATATTTATACATTAGTGTTTTTTCTCTTTTATGTTATATCTTTTTTATAATGTTACATTTAAATTTAAATTTATAATGTTAAATTTAAATTTAAATATTGATCTGGTCTAAAAATTTTCTAAGATGAGATAAAGATGAATGACAAAATATAAATTACGATCATTCTACATTAACTATGTATTGTTAAATATCAGCATGTCGAGTATTACAAACATTTTTGTGCGTTTTTGAAATTCTATCATTCTTCTCATGTTTCCTTTCTTTTACATGTCAGATATTAAATGAGAATTAATAAAGTTATAAATATATTATTACAGAGTTCAATAATCGTAGTTGCTTATTTGTTTTGCATATTGAATTTAATATATATTTAATATTAATATTTTATGGAAATTTTTATGTTTCTTTAATAAATATTAAAATGTTCGTAACCAATATTATACTAATGTTACAACACCATGTTATAAAATACATAGTGCGATTATCACTATGCAGTGTTAATATTGCATTTAAAACATAAATAAGAAAAGCAATTTCATCATGAACAGAAAAAGGATATGCTGCGACTTCGTAATATAAATTGAAAAAAATAGGTAATGTTTCAATGATATTAATAATCTATGCTGTTTAATAACAAATTTAATTTGTAGATATTTTAACGATTTGTAACCAAATATAATCTCGACGTGCAGATGAAAATAATATTATTAATTACTTAGTATCCAATTTTTTAAATGCATATATAAGACAAGCGATATTATCCTTAATAATTTAGTTGATTATTGCTATTTATCGCCAATAATCTATATTAAACACTTTTTTCCAAAGAAGATTATTGTAGACAAATAAATTATTATCAAAATCCATACTATGTAAAACGGATAGAAGTTTTTATTTATATTATTCATTTTTTTATTTACACAATCTTGATATTTTATTTTCTGCTTTAATCAAAATTGACCTAGACAATTTCAAAGATGTAGAGAATGTTTGAATACATTTCGTCACTATGTTTTAATTTCATTTTGTTAAGAGAGGGTTGTAGAATTTTTCTCTCAAGTTATAAAAATTTCACACTAGGAAGAAATATATTAATATATATATTTAATACAATGCAAAATATGATATTGACTTTAAAACTTTTCGCGGACATCTATGCAAAAATTTAAAATTTTTTGTTGAATCACATATAAGTAAATATATCTATAAGTTTTGATTTCTTATAGATAATTATTAATTATAAATCTGAAATTAAAATCACAAAGTCTAAGATGATAAAATTAATATAGTAGTACCAAGTAATAATTTTTGTACATATTATGCGTCGATTTATATTGAACTTCTATAATTCGAATTTTAAATAATTCGTTTTTTGAAAATTATAAATTTAAACTCAATATCATAAAACTGAAAATATGTCAGATGTAATATTGTAAAATGTGGCGAATGTAAATATTGCAAAATCTTAATTATTACTTTTTCTTATGAAAACTATAGATACAGCTAATTGCGAATGCGCTAATAACTTCAAACTTATTTTTAATTGTTGAATTAATTTGTCTATTTTTGAATATTTATATTCGAAATATCTCGCATTACAATGTAAAATATTTTTTATAATCCAAATATCAACATAATATTTATCTCATGAATGAGAATTTTCTTATCTATTTCATATATTTCTTGTGTATAAGTATACAATTAATAAAAATGAACAATCAATATATAGATTGAGGCTATATTGAAATCCAATACACAGTATTGGAATTTATATAAATTCAAAGTTGAAAAAAGTTATATTGTGGAATAAATTTAAATTTTTTTTCCAAAGGACGAATGAGACAAAATTCTTATATTAGGTTTTGCATTGCTCAGAAGAAATTCGCAAATAAAATTGTTTCATTACTTCACATTTTTGAAAAAATTAGACTTAAAAGATGTTAAAAGTGGCATTTTCAAGTACATTTGACCTAAAATAGTTTAAAAATGTGACATAGTAGATCCGCAATTTCATTTGCGGATTTGTTTTCAAATCTAAAAAATCACTTTTTATTGGTTGTTTTTTGTAAAATGTTACAATTATAGATAATTGAAAAAGTAGTAGTATGGTAATTGTTCATTTATACAATGTGACTAATCACTTACACTTAATAGTTTGTGGTGTCGATAATTATGAATTTAAAGTTAATATTTTCAAATAATTTTTTTAAATACATAAAACAATACATAAAAAA